CGGGGGCGGCCCCCGGGGGGGCTCGGTCGGGGCCGCGCACGTCGCCGCCGCCAGAGGCGCGCCCGGGGGCGGGGCTGGCGGCAGGCCACGCCCACGGGGCGGGCCGTCGGGCCCGGCTTCGGGCGAGCCGGGCGAGTGAGGCGATCGGGGTCACCACCGTTCCTTCCTGCCAGACCTGACGTTCCAGAATTGGCCTCGCCGTCGCCCCAGGTGATGGCGCCAGGTGCAGACGTCGTGGCTGGCGTCGCCGCCGGATGCTGTCTTCCCAGACAGCCTTCGTGCTGGACTCCCCGACCGCGCCTCAGCCCCTCAGCCCCCTCAGGCCCAGGTGTCCTAGGCCGCAGCTGCCCGCGGGGCCCCAGTCTGCCTGACAGAGGTCCCCTTCGCCCCTTTAGGCCCGGGCCACACCCTCAGGCCTGCTGCTTCCCTCCTAGCGAGGCATCCCACCACCAGACTCTTGAGACGTCTGTCCTCTGAGCTGATGTTCACTGTGTCTGGCTGCCTTAACCCCGTCCAGATCCAGGTCACGCACTCAGACCCAACCACCCTCCGAAGGCCTCGCAATTCCCAGTTGCTCCCGTAGTTCTAGACCCTTCTCTCAGGACATCCAGTTCAGACCTCACGGCCCACTAGGCCCACTTCAAGATACTCCTTTTGACATTTTATCTTAGGTTTTCTCAGCTCAGGTTAGGTGCCCTTGTTGATTGTGTTTTGTGGTGGGCAGGGACAACAAAAGTGGATGCCCTTTGGCTTGGACCACTTTCTGATTGGCTTTTTCTGTCCTTTGTGCAGGCCTCCATGCCCTGCTAATTTACCTACTAGTGTATTTTTAGGGCGCCCAGAGCCTTGGCATGCAGCCAAGCTACTCTACCACTGACATACTTCTGTACTGATTCCCTAGCTTTTTTGCTTGTTTTGTTTTGGACAAAGTCTTGCTCCTTCATAAGCCTTCTGAATCTTTGGGATGTATGTACCACCTAACCTGGCTTTTGTTTAGTATTTGTTCATTTATTTGCTTTCATTTTTCTGGGATTTTTCAGGTACTTTTTAAAATCAAGTATGTATTGGTGGTGGTGGTGGTGTGTGTGCCCGTACTTAGGAACTCACACAAACGTACGTGAACAGGTCAGATCCAAGAGGAGAACTCGGGTCAGATCTTTAGGCAACAAGCACTTTTATCTATTGAACCAACTTCTTGGTTTATACCTAGTATATTTCCTTAAGATTTTATTTTTAAGCAGTCACACACCTTTAATCCCAGCACTTGGGAAACAGAGGCAGGCTGATTCTGAGTTCAAGGCCAGCCTGGTCTACAGAGTGAGTTCCAGAACAGCCAGGGCCACAGAGAGAAAACTTGTCTCAAAAAAAACCAAGGGCGGGGGGGGGGGGGGCGGGGTGGGGTGGGCGAAGAGCTGGCTCAGTGGTTAAGAGCCCTTGCTGCTTCTGCGAAGGGTCTCCTCTGCCCTCCTCCACCCCCTGCAGGTGGTACACAGAAGCTCACACAGGTTCGCAGCACACACAAAAATAAAAACTAAGTAAATTTTGGAAGGAAGACAGAGGAACTCAGCAAAAGGAGCACATACGCCCAGTATGGGTGTAGACTTCTCCAGAGAGTCTCTGTGCAGCTGACTTCCCTGCTCACTTTACTGTGGACCCGTGGTTCTCAGCCTTCCTAACTGCACAGCAACTCATGTTGTGGTGACCTCAACCATAACATAATTTTTGCTGCTACTTCATGCATGTAATTTTGCTACTATTATGAATCATAAGGTAAATGTGTTTTCCTACGGTCTTAGGTGACCCCCAAAAGTGCTCCCTCCCCCAGGTTGAGAACCACTGCTGTAGACAGCCTCACCTGTCTCCATGTTTGTTGTTCCTTTTCCAGTTTCATTAACCTTTCATACTCCGCTTGTTACCAACCCTCAGTTCCTTCACTCCTCTGCCCTGCTCACCAATTCTACCCCAGCTATGACCAAAGGCCTCTGCCCGTCCAGTCTCCACCTGCTGTGCTTTTTGTTTCAGCATCTCGCAGTCCAGTTAACTTGCATCTGAAATTTCCACTTACTCTATACCTTTAGCTCTAGGAAATTTTCTCCTTTACAGCATCCACCTTTCCTGTTGCTTTTATCTCCAACTTCACATGTTCAGATAAGGGTACAGCACTGTTGACTCCCTCAGAGCCATTAAGCTCTCTTTCTTCAGGATGCTCGGTCCCCTTCTAGTCTCTAGCCTTGCTGATGGTCTGGCCCTACATTATATGAGTGAATGACTCATTATCCATTTTCCTCCCAGTACCAGGGAGGAGATCCAGTCCTGCTTCCTAGCCGAGCCCAGTCATGCAGGGTCAGGAAGATGGAGACAGCATCCTTCCTTTTGCCAAGTGAGTCTTCCCTACTGGGTGGTAAAGACAAGGATGGGATAGAGGAAAGATTTCGTGCTTGGATTCTTCTTAGAAAGGAGTAAAAAAGAACAGGAACCTCAGTGCCTGGGTTTGAAGGATTTGGTGGCTCATTAATTTAGTCAACAAATGGTTTTCTAGTATTAGTTTAAATTGTCCGTGGGGCCAGAAGGCGGCTTGGGATGCCCTAGAGCTGGAGTTCCGAGGAGGCGTGAACCAGCAGCGTCTGTGGGCCGGATGCTCTGAAGCACTGAGCTAGCTCTCTAGCCCCAACAGAGTGTTGAACACTGTCCTATTGCAGGCACTATATAGTAGGCACTGAGGGTTGGTAAGAAACCCTCACAGAGCTATGGTGGAGCAGAGCGTATGACCAGCCTCCTCACAGCTGGTGCTGAGAACTACCCAGAAGGACATGTGCCCATAAAGTAATGGAGAACAGGAGACTTAGGGCTAGGGCTGCGGCAGAGAACCGCTATGTACCCGCAAACTCGAAATGAGATGGGGCTTGTCTACAGATCGGGCATGGAGGGGGCGAAGAGGAAAAAACTTAGCATGTTCTAGTAACAGGTTAGGACAATGAAATCAAAACTTGTTAACTGAAGGAAATGTGAATAAAGTTAAGAGAGTCAGGCAAAAGCCAGATCAGAAAAAGCCTTATAGGCCATAGACAAAATTTTGTATTTTTATTCTGATGATGGTGGGAATCCATAGAAAGTTTTAAGCAAGGAAGTGACAATACTTTTTTTTTCCTTCAATATTTTTTATTATGGAAAATTTCAAATAAATATAGTAGAGAAATAGTGTTATGAACTGGTATACTCTTTTCATTAAGCTCCAATGACTTTCATTACATGGATATTCCTTTTAGCTGCCCATCCCCCTAAATCTCAGTTTTTAAAAACGTGTATTTATTTTGTCTGTGAGTTTATGCATACATATGTGCAGGTATGTGCAACAGTATTTCACCCCTGGGCGCCAGAGATGGGGAGCAGCTCTCTCATTCTCTACCTAGTCTCAAAGTGCCATTGATTTTTTTGTTTGTTTGGATCTTTTGAGAAAATTTTTGGGCTTTTTAAAAAACAGGATCTCACTCTATAGCCCTGGCTGTCCTGGACTCGCTTTGTAGGCCAGGCTGGCTTTGAACTCACAGAGATCTGCCTGCCCCTGCCTCCCCTAGTGCTGGGATTACAGGCCTGCACACTGTGCCCGGCTTCTAATTTTTTTAACCTTGTATTTATCTCATGTGTAGGAGTGTCTTGCCAGTACCTTGTGGGTTCTGGGAACCTGACCTGCTTCTCTGCAAGAGCAGCAACCTTGCTCTGTCTCTCCTGCAAACCATGTGTTCCTCTCTCTGAACCTGGAGCTCACATTTTCTCAGAGCAGAAGCGGACCCGCCCAGCAGGCCTGTGTCTCGCACCTTCCGAGGAAGGTGCGTGAGAGATACTCAGGTTGTTTCATGGGTGCTGGGATCTGAATTCCAGTCCTCATGATTGAACAGCGACTACTAGCTCTAAGCTTATCTCCAGCCCCTTTTTTTGTTGTTTCTGGAGTGGGGTCTTACATAGTTTAGGCTAGCCTCATACTTACTATATAGACAAGGATGACTTTGAACTCCTCACCCTCCCCACGTGCTGAGACTTCACACTTGCCCCAGAAGGAATTATCTCTCTGAAGCTGGAGTTAACAGGCAGTTGTGAGCTGCCTGGTGAGGGTGCTGGGAGCTGAACCTTAATTGGATTTTAAAATATTACTCTCACTGGCCTCAGGAGGCAGAGAGAGAGGGGAAAAAAAAGATTACTTCCTCCTATTCAGTGCAGCATCTGGGAGAAAAGAAGAATACAAGTGGGGCTGGAGAGAGCACTTGTCCTTGCGGAGGACGTGGGTTCAGTCCCCAGCACCCGCATGGCCACTGAAAACCATCTGTACCTCCAGGTCTAGACAAGCCAATGCCCTCTTCTAATCTCTGTGGGCACTGCATGAACCTGGTGCTCAGACATGCCTGCAGGCAAAACATCCATACACATAAACAAACAAACAAATTCTTAAAATGAAAGGCATGGTGGCTCGTGGACTCGAGACCCAGGTTCAGTCCCAGCGCCCATGCGATGCCTGTAACTTCAAGCTGAGAGGGCCTGACGCACTCTTCTGTGCTCTGTGGCCCTGCATGCTTGTGACACACAGACACACGTGCAGGTAGCACACACTGTGGAATACACACTTCCAAACTTTTTAAAAATAACAAAAGCAGGGAGCGTAGAGAGAGACCATTTCTATAGTCCAGGAAGAAAAAGATGGTAGATGATCTGCAATATGATGAGAATGAAAATGGAAACAGTGGTCTAATCTGGGCATTGTTCCGTTGCTCATTGTACTGACATACACACACGTATAAAAGCAGGTTTCGTCCATAGCTGCTAGGCATATGGGGTGTATCTTTCATCAGGTTGGAGGCTGAGAAGATGTTGAGTGCAGCCTATGGAAGATCTGGGGCTCGAATAGATTTGGGAGTATTAGCACACTGGAGATATTTAAAGTCATGAAATTGAATGAGACCATCTAAAGACGGACAGAGGTGAGGAATATAAAAGACCCCCTGATATTTCACTTCTTAATGACCAGGAGGTTGGGCCAGGCATGATGGCAAATGCCTTTAATCCCAGCACTCCAGAGACAGAGGTAGGTGGATCTTTGGGAGTTCAGAGCCATCCTGGTCTATATAGAAGGTTACAGGACAGATAGAGGGAGACTACATAGGGAGACAAAAACCATAGGATTAGGTATCATTCCATCTGGGAACAAGAAAGTAATGAACACTGTTCTCAAACAGCTCTATACATGCTTCACACGAGGATATTAGTCCTGAGGTACAGAAGATACAGCAAGGTAAACACAGCTTCTCCCCTCCCCCTCCATCCTTTGCATTGACTTAAGGGAACAGTGTCCATGAAATCACCTGAATAGCCAAAGCCTTCCTCTTATCAACTCTGCTTGCTAAATAGTATGTTCTCTGGCTCTGCAGTATAGAAGCTGACATTTAAGACAGGCATTCTGTCACTTACCTTTAACCCCAGCACTCAGGAAGCAGAGGCAGGCAGATCTCCGTGAGTTCAAGGTCAGCCTGGTCTACGAGGGAGTACCAGAACAGCCAGAGTTATAAAGTCTTATCTCAAAAAACCAAAGGGTGGGGGATTGGAAGCAGCTGAGATTTGATGCATCTTGAAGTCCATCTCCACACTCACCCTAGCTCCTGTCTCCAATCAAATCAGAGTCGTGAACTTCTTTAGCTGAAGTGGGCAAAGGGCTCTCTATGGCTATAGCTCAGCTAGCTTCAGCTTAGGTGATACAGTGCTTTTTTAGCATTCAGGAAACTTGGGCTGGAGAGAGGGCTCAGAGTCTAAGAGCGCTGGCTGTTCTTCCAAAGGTCGTGAGTTCAGTTCCCAGCACCCATCTATACCTGTAGGCGCACATGAAAGCAGAATGCTATATAATTATTTATATAAATAATTATAACAGAGCAACCAGAAAACTCTGGGTTTGCTTCCCAGCACTGCATAAAAACCTACATGCCTGTGAGCCCAGCACTCAGGAGGTGGAGGCAGGAAGATCGCTCAGACTCTTGTTTAGTAATTTAGGTGTCTATCTGTGTATGTGTGCAGGCATCAGGAGAGGGTTGGGCTGCAGATTGGAGTTAAAGGCAGCTGTGAGCCAGCCAGCCTGGGTTCTGGGATTTGAACTCAGGCCCTCTGCAAAGGCAACATGTGCTCTTAGCTTCTGAGCCATCTTTCCACTCCTGTGAGGCAGGAGGATCTTAAGTATGATATAGTGAGTTTGAGGCCAGCCTGTCTTAAAATGGAAGAGAAAGCATTACGACTCCTGATTATCCCAGCACTCAGAAGGCAGACACAGGCAGATCTCTGAGTTTAGGGCCAGCCTAGTCTATAGAGCAAGTTCCATACCAGCCAGAGCTCCACGGTAAGACCCTGTCTCAAAAGAAGGAGATGGGAAGCAAGAGAAGCACGTGGACAGCTGTATGGTCCCACGGAGGGGACATCCCCGAAGCCAGTGGGCGAGTAGACGCTCTCGGCAGCAGCTCTCACCTTCCTGCTGCTTCGACCCTTTAATAAGCTGCTCCTGTTGTGCTGACCCCAACCATAAACATTTTTCTTTTTCTTTTTTTTTTTTTTTTTGGTTTTTCAGACAGGGTTTCTCTGTGTAGCCTTGGCTGCACAGGACTCACTTTGTAGACTAGGCTGGCATCGAATTTACAGAGTTCCTCCTGCCTCTGCCTCCAGGAGTGCTGGGATTCCAGGCATGTGACCGGCTCATAAATTATTTTCATTGCTATTTCATTACTGTACTTTTGCTACTGTTATGAATCATAATGATACTTATCTGTGTTTTGCAGGGGTCGACCCCTGAAAAACAGACACCCCCAGAAGGGTCTGCCCCACAGGTTGAGGGACAGTCCAGATATGAGTCCATCGTGTCCTCACTTCTCTCAGGTGCTCCAGGGTAGTCAGCCGGGCTTCAGCCCGCAGCCTGCCCTCCCAGAGTAGTGGAACCATGCTGCAGGCTTACGGAGACAGCTTCTGGGAGGATCGCAGCCAAAGGCCCAGGTGAGGAGAGGGGGACAGGCGGAGCTGGGCGGGAAGGGGAGATGGACTGTTCTGCAGACAGAGAGCCTACACTGTTTTTAGTGATCATAAATCCTGACAGCAGGAAGCCCACGTTTGGAGGGCATTCCACACCACCTGATGGAGATCATAGCTCCAACAGGAGGTTGGGAAGAGTTTATATGAGAAATGATTGCCGGGTGGTGGTGCACCCCTTTAATCCCAGCACTTGGGAGGCAGAGGCGGGCTGATCTCTTTGAGTTCGAGGCTAGCCTAGTCTACATAGGAAGCTCCAGGACAGACAGAGCTGTTACACAGAGAAACCCTGTCTTGAAAAACAGGGAGGAGAGATTTATTAGGGTGTCTTTTCTGAGTCCAGCTCCTGTTTTTGTTCTTCTCAGCTCCAGCTGGATGCTAGAACAGCCCGTTCCGCCAGCACTGGTAGGCAAACTGCTTCTCCGCCTTCTGTTAAAATTGTGCCCCCTGCCTTCCTATCCTCTAACTGTTTCTCTCTGGTATTTCCCAACCAGCGCACTAACCAGGCTCTGTTTTTTTGTAAATCAAACACCCTGTTTTCCAGATCATAACCAAGCTTCCAAAGACCCTGATCCCTTAGGCCAGCCGTGTTCTCCTGGAACTGGCATCCCTCTACCCATTTAGCAACTGTTCTTCCTTGTTGGCACAGGCCACTGGCCGCTCCCAGCCGGGCCTGCACTCTCTCGAGGGACTCCCTCCTCCCGAGAGGCTCTGCAGAAGAAAGAGAAAGAAGCTGCATTCAGAGAGGGTGCAGAGGGGGCCCGGAAACATGCCAGCTCGTGTTAGAGCCGTTACCTATCATCTGGAGGACCTGAGGAGGCGCCAGGGAATCACCAATGAGTAAGGAGCATGGCCTCTGGGAGCAGAGGCAGGATGGTTTGACCTAGAGAAAGTTAGGAGCTTTAAGAGAATTCACTGACACTTGGAAAGGAACCATGTGCCTGGTGTGATTCAAGCATAATGTAACTTTTTGCATTAGTTATGTGTACATGTGTAGCTCATGCAACGGCAGGTATGTGGAGGTCAGAGGGCAATTTACAGGAACTGGCTCTCTCCTTCCACGCTCTGGGTCCTGACCTAGGTCCTGAGGCTTGGTAGCAAACACCTTTACCTGCTAGGTCATCTTGCTGACCCTCAAACATAACTTCTATTACGAGGAAGAAGCAGGTGAGGATGGAAGAAAAGTGACGTAAGCTTGGAAGGAAAGTGGCCGCGATGACAAGAACATGTTATAGAGCTAGGGTCAGCGCTGGGCCTCTGTCCTGAAAATTCTGTGTGTGAGACAAAAAGCTGGGTGAGTCGAAGGTTGATGGCAGCACCCGTTTGGGTCGGCTGGAGGAGGAAGAAACTGAAGCCTGTCCTCCAGGCACCTCTCTCCTCAACCCAGTGTCTCCACAGACTGAAGAAGGCCCAGTGGGGCAGCTGCGGGGCTCCACCCCAGCTCCTGGTGCTCGAGGAGGGCTGTGGACTCTTCAGCACTGCTGGCTGCCTTGACGTGGAAGACAGGGCAGCCTGCCCACAGGAAGAGAGTCATTTTGTCACTCCCAGGGATCAGGTATGGTTGAGAGGAATTTGGGAGGGTTAGGGTGGAAGGTGATGTCCTCTGGGGAGGCCCAGAGGCCCAGAATCAAGTTGGACAACTGGATTTAAAAACAAAAGGTAGCCGAGCACCCGAGGGGGCATGTGCCTGGATTTGGCAATTGAGAGACCTATTTTCCCTTTCTTGCCGTTTTATCTACCTCTCGATCTTTCTCACCTACAGCTGCTTTGGTCTCCCTGGACTCCCTTAGGCCAGGGGTGGACTTATGCCTCTGGGCGCCCAAGCTCTCTGGCCTACAGCACTGTGACAGCCAGGAGGAACCCCATTTGCGATGTCCAGAGGATGGAAGAGTTGGAGTCTGAGGAGTAGCAGGAAGTCATCCATGCCCAAGCTGCGGGACACAAGACCAATTCAAACCCGAGATTCTCCCCATTGCAGGGGTCCAGGCCGCTGTTTCCCTGTCCTCACTCTCACTGCTGTTCCCATTCCACAGTGTAGGCATTCGCAGCCCCCTTGAGTTCCTGTCCAACCGTCCCGGCCCCTCTGAGCCGGGTTTTCTAGGCCAGACCCTGGTCTTGTGTTCTGTTGGGTCATTAAAGAGCCCGGAGTAGTCAGTCTTGCTTGTGCTGGAGGAGATGATGGCCGTGGATGCAAAGGAGGGCTCCTTTGAGGTCCTGAGGCCCAGTTACATGAAGTCAGCCTGGGTCCCCACCTGTGCCGAGTCTCGCCCGAGGCCAGAGTTCTGCATTCTCAGGCTTTCCCGGTGGCGTCCAGTCTCCGGGCCCACGCCCCATCCTCCTGCGCCCACAATCACGTCAGCGGCCGAGCTTCCGCCTCCGGATCCCGGCCCTCGGCTCTTGCCTCTTTAGGGCCTGTGCAGCACCGCGTCTCCTAGCCTGGCCCGGAGCCTCAAGCGTGCTGACCCCGGCTTCCCCTCCCGACCCCCGCTCCCTTAATTGGGAGGCCCCGCCCCGTGCGCACTGACGTCGAACGCCGCTGTCAGCCGGCGCTAGGGGGGGTCGGTTTGGGGTAGAATGGCCGCTGCCGCCGTCACCCGCGGGACCCCGGGAGGTAAGAGCCAGGGCCTCGGGCCCGCCTCTCCGCCCCCGCGCCAGGGGGCGCCGCTCCTCGCGGCCCGGTGTGCGGCGGCGCCGGGGACCACCGGCTCCCTCCCGGGCCGCCCCCACCTCGCCGCTTCCGTCCTCCTTCCCCGCGCCAGGGCCGCATCAGGGACCCGAGCGCGGGCACTGCCCCCGACCCCGCACCGGGCCCGCACTGCCCCGGCCGCAGGTGCCTCTCCAGAACATCCGGGCTGCGGGCGGGACCCTGGCCGGCCCCTCCCACTCGCAGACCTCCGCGACCCCCGCCCCCCCTCCGGCCCGCCGTCCATCCGCCCCGCTCCGCAGCCTGCCGGGCTGCCTGGCCGGGGCTGCGCACCTGCGCCCCGGGAGACCCCTCACCCAAGCCCAGCCTCCCTGCACGCGCCGTCCTCCGCGGGCCTCCACCCCCTCTCCGTCCCGGACACCTGGCAGGGCCCGCGCACAGCCTCCTCCGGCTCCCATCTGTTCCCGGGAGGGCGGAGGCTCAGCCTGGGACCCGAGCGGTGGAAGGGCCGTGGAAGGCTTCGAGCCAGAGAAGCAGAGCTTGGGGAAATGGGAGAGCTGGGTGAGGGGAAGTGCTGGCTGCAGAGAGGAAGCCAGGGTGTCCCACCCGGAAGCCTGGTCCGACGTGTCTGTTCCAAATCCTCCCAGCCCCCGACCAACCTGAGAGAGAGAGGTCAGTTATCAGATCTGCCCTCCCTCAGAAAAAGTCAGACAGAGATCGGGGTGTGTCCTCAAGAGCCCTGCTGGCCACCAGACCTAGCTCTGCTTGCCTCCAGCATTCAGCTAGTCTTGTCACGCCATCAAGGACCGAGCCCCAGCTCCTACGACCGGCCCACTCTGGGCCCGGCCTTGCCCTCCCTTCCCAGTGCACCGAGTTCTTTTTCTGTCTGATTTTCCACGGAGAAAAAGCTGTAGTAACTGACCTCACCTGCTCTCTCCTTCAGCCTGGGAGAATCTGGGTTAGCCACGCAGGAGCACCTCCCACCCTGGGGAGCTCCGACTTGGTCGGCCTCCCCCGCTCCTCCCTTCTGTCTTGTCTCCTCGCTCACGTGGGTTCGTGGCCTGTGTCCGGTTCTAGTTCAGCCTTTGCTTCATCTTTCCCACATGACGGGACTGAGCTCCGAACCCCATACCTCAGGCTCTTCATCCGGGATTACTGTGGGGGCTTCTTCCATGACCTTGTTCTCTCCTCTCTCAGCACAGACTCCCCCTCCCCCCGGCCCCTCAGGCCGGGGGTGACCTTGCCCCCTGGAACCCTCACCATGAATACCAAGGACACCACTGAGGTTGCTGGTGAGTTCACAGCACAGGGTCTCAGGTGGGCTCAGCCTCCGGTTTCCTGCTGTCTGACCCTCGATTCTCTGCCCTCCTCCTCCCTGGTCCCAGTTGCAGTTCCCCGTGCCCTGCCTTATATCCGGCCCCTCCCTCTGGACTGCCTGTAACAGAGCCCTCCCTCTGGTCCCTCTAGAAAACAGCCACCACCTGAAGATCTTCCTCCCCAAGAAGCTGCTGGAGTGTCTCCCTCGATGCCCACTGCTGCCTCCAGAGAGGCTGCGATGGAACACAAATGAGGTTTGCTAGGGAGTGCGGAGACTGGGACCCAGCCCGACCGGTGGGTTGGAGGAGGCTGGGTGGGACTTTGTGTGTGTGTGTGTGTGTGTGGTGTGTGTGTGGACACGCACTGCCAAGCACTGTTCTAGGCTTGGGGGGGGTCATAGAATTACACAGACTTGGACCTCCTAGGAGCCGGTTCCCGAGGGTATAATCCATCCAAGCAAACAATGGCTTAGTACTGCATGTCGCCCCCAGCGCCCCATGCTGTGCGTCTGACCTGTGTTGCCTCTTACCACTACAGATGTTAGGGAAGAGAAAAGTGGTCTGTTTTGTTTCTGTGTGTTGATGTTAAAGGCTATCATGTAGTCCAGGCTAGCCTCAAACTTGCTTCGTAGCCAAGGACAAGCTTAAATATGCAATCCCCTCCTGCCTCTACCTCCAAAGTGCTGGGATTCTAAGTGTGTGTCAGAAGCCCAGTTAACGTGCTGGGGAGTGAACCCAAGGCCTGTGCGTGCAAGCCTCTGCTGACCTCCTCCCCTGTCCCTGCTCTAAACCCTGATCCTCAGGCTGCCATGTCCCTAGAACTAGGATTCAGGTATATGCCATTCTGCCTAACTTTGTTTTTCCTCCCTTAGGCAGGGAGAAAAATATTTCCGTGTTCCCCACACTGACCTTACGCATTTGTTGGGCTGTGTGAGCGCGTACATGTTTGTGGCGGCCAGAGGTCCGTGTTGAGTGTCTTTCTCAGTGGCTCTCTACCTTATTTCTCGAGTCTTTAAATGAACCTGGAGCTCACTGGTTTGCTGCACTGATTGGTCATCCAGCCCAGAACCTTCTTGCCTCTCTTTGCCCGGCACCAGAATTCCAGGCTGCAGGCGTGCACAGTGTTGCCTGGATTTTTACTGGGTGCTGGGGATCTGACCTTGTGTCTATACTTGTGCAGCAAGCACTTCTCTGACTGAGTCGCTTCCCCAGGCCCTAGTTGGCCTTTCTGAGACAGGCTCTGGTGTGGCCTGGAGCTCCCGATTTTCCCGCCTCAGCCCCTGAGTGCTGAATGCTGGGGTACGGGTGTGCGTCCACAGGCCTGTCTCGGGCCCTGCCTTTTACCACCTCTGGAGGACGCTTTCTGTGTTCTGCATACACATTGCCTGCACGTAGTTGGTGGCTGGTGATTATTGATTCACTCTCAGAACTGTCTGTAAAGCTGGGGTGCGGGAGCGGCTCACACCCATAGCCAGAGCCATGAGGATTACACAGTTCTGGCCAGCTCGGTGTACAGATGAGTAGGAGGTGGGCCAAGGTTATGCAGTGAGACTGCGCCCTCAATAAAAAGTGGGCGTGTTTGCACATGGTTATTTACGTGCTTTAGAGCCTTCAGGAAGTTCCGAGAAGCAGCAGCAGGGAAGTTGTTCTGAGATGCTTGGAATTTCCAGGCATAGAGGCATTCCCAGGCACTTCAGGCAAGTAGGGCACCGACAAGAACGGTGTGATTGTTGGAGTCGTGTTCAGGAAGGGATCACTGAGCTCATCTGGCCAGACTAGTGGGTTGAATTGAGTAAATAGTAGGAATAATTGTGTGATACCTTGAAGGCCTTGGAGAACCTGGAGTTCCTGTCAGCGTCAAACCGTTGATGGTTCTCAGGCTGGGTGACAGAGAAAGCAGCTCATATGAACAAAGGATAGCCTTGAAGCTGGCCGCACGGGATGGGCTCCAGTAGGGAGACAGAGACAAAGGTAAAAGGTTAGGTTGTTTGGTTGGTTGTTTTCTCCTCCTGGTGTTTAAACCTGGGGCCTTGCACATGCGTGCTTGCACTGTCGTCTTCTGTGACTGAACGACACCCCCAGCCCGAGGTCTGGTTTCATCTGAGATAGAACCTGCTATTCCAAGGGCTGTGAGGCCTCCTGAGTCCAGACAGCTCCGCAGAGGCCCTAAGACAGTGGCCCGGTGGGGCACCTACCAGCGGCCTCCTCTCCTACAGGAGATCGCGTCCTACCTGATCACCTTTGAGAAACATGACGAGTGGCTGTCTTGCGCTCCAAAGACAAGGTGAGAAAGTTCTCCAGTTTGAAGAACAGGGATCCTGGGCTGTGTGCACAAAACTCCAGCTCCCCGTCCCCACCAGGCCTCAGAATGGCTCCATTATCCTCTACAATCGGAAGAAGGTGAAGTACCGGAAGGACGGGTACCTTTGGAAGAAGCGGAAGGATGGGAAGACCACCCGAGAGGACCACATGAAGCTCAAGGTCCAGGGCGTGGAGGTAAGAGTGCCAGCCGGCCACAGGGCGCCCCGCGGCCTGCCTGTGGGGAGGCTGTCTGTGTCCCTCTTGGTCTGCGAGCTCCCGTTTGCCGTCGCCCAGCTCCGTGGCACGGATGCGCAGTCCCCGCTCCCTTGCATCTCGCCTGAGGTCCAGCAGTGGCACTGAAGTGCAGGCTTCTCCCGCATCTTGTTCTCCTGCGCTTCTTCTCTGCTCTCCGATCCCTTCCCTTTGTCTCAGACTGGGCACCCTCCTCTGTTCCCCTCTCGCCTGCTGGAATTTGGAAGGGGTGGGAAGGTGGGGCTAGGGAAAGGACTGAGGAGGAGCTGGTGGAAAGATTGGGATTCCTGCAAAGGGACTGAACTGAGGAAGACTTGGGGAGCAGACTAGCCCTCCCCCCACCCCAGCCTGTCTCCTGGCAGTGTCTCTATGGCTGCTACGTTCACTCTTCCATCGTCCCCACATTCCATCGGCGCTGCTATTGGCTGCTCCAGGTAAGAACTGGGAACTCAGCGAGCCATATTTCTGGCTCTTTGGGGAACATGAGATCTGAAAAGATGCAGAATGAGTTCTGAGTGGGAAAAGCAGAAGGGGGAATAGGACTAGGACAGGCTGGAAGTCGAGAGTGCTGAGAATTGGGGGTGATGCTCAGAAGGCGAGGACTGGGAGGCTAGACCGCGGCTGTGTGTACCTCGTGCTGCCAGAACCCTGACATCGTCCTCGTGCACTACCTGAATGTCCCGGCCCTGGAGGACTGCGGGAAGGGCTGTAGCCCCCTCTTCTGCTCCATCAGCAGCGAGCGGCGCGAGTGGCTGAGGTGGTCGCGGGAGGAGCTCCTGGGGCAGCTGAAGCCCATGTGTAAGGGGCAGGCCGAGGGAGGGAGAGCGGGGGAGCGGGTAACTCTGTCCAAGCCAGGGTAGGGGGTTGGGGGGGGCTCTCCTGTTGGCATACAAGATCCTGAGAAGGTACAGAGAGGCCCCTGGCGCTGTGTGTCTGAGGGAAGTCTCACAGACCGCCCCCTTTCTGCAGTTCATGGCATCAAGTGGAGCTGTGGGAACGGGTCGGAGGAATTCTCTGTGGAACAGCTGGTGCAGCAGATCTTGGATACCCACCCAACCAAGCCAGCACCCCGAACACATGCTTGTCTCTGCAGTGGGGGCCTTGGTAAGTGACCCCTGACTGACACTCAGCCTATTCAGCCACATTGCTTGGTAACAGTCTCGATGGAATCTGCATGCTAATTTGCAAGTCTTTGCATGCCCAGAAAGATGGGCCAAGGAGGAGAGCTTCCTGCCGGCTGGTCCTGGAAGCCCACGAAGCTCCTGCCTCTGCCACACCAGTTACAGCCAGCCTTAGCTTGCTACCCCTGGTTCTCCCTCGCCTACCGCTGTGGGCTCCTGCCTCAACCAGGACTGCTCCCCTACTATGCTCCTCCAGTCCTGTTTATTTTGAGGAGGAGCTGGGGGGGAGGGGGCTTGTTTCTGATGCCTCCCAGTGGTCACAGTCAGCATTACACTGGAGGTTTGCTGTGGGGTGGGGCTGCTGGACACCAAGTCTTACCCCTTCTCTTCCCTCTCCTCTCCACACCAGGTTCCGGGAGCCTGACGCACAAATGCAGCAGCACGAAACACCGCATCATCTCTCCCAAAGTGGAGCCCCGAGCTTTAGCACTGGCTTCTGTACCGCACTCCAAGCCCCCTGAGCCCCCACCAATGATCGCCCCACTTCCTCCAGAGCTCCCCAAGGCACACACCTCCCCATCTTCCTCTTCCTCCTCTTCCTCCTCCTCAGGATTTGCAGAACCCCTAGAAATCAGACCCAGCCCTCCTACCTCTCGAGGGGGTTCATCAGGAGGAGGCACGGCCATCCTTCTCCTAACAGGACTAGAGCAGCGAGCCGGGGGCCTGACGCCCACCAGGCACTTGGCTCCGCCGGCTGAGCCGAGACCGTCTGTGAGCTTGGCTGTGGTTGTGGGTTCTGAGCCTTCTGCCCCACCAGCTCCTCCCAGCCCTGCCTTTGACCCTGACCGTTTTCTCAACAGCCCCCAAAGGGGCCAGACATATGGAGGGGGCCAGGGAGTGAACCCAGACTTCCCCGAGGCGGAGGGCACTCACACTCCCTGCCCTGCCCTGGAGCCCGCTGCTGCTCTGGAGCCCCAGGCAGCCTCGAGAGGTGGCCCTCCACAGCTGGGGGCAAGCGGGAGGCGAGGAAACCAGTTCTTCATCCAAGACGATGAGAGCGGGGAGGAACTGCAGGGTCCGGGAGCTGTGCCGCCTGTACCTTCACCCCCTCCGTCGTCCCCACCCTCACCTGCTGCCTTGCAGCCGCCAGGCAGGGGGACAAGAGGAGAGACCTTGTTTGGAGGCTCCGCTGGCAGCAGCGAGCTGGAGCCCTTCAGTCTTTCATCATTCCCAGACCTCATGGGAGAACTCATCAGCGATGGCGCTCCAAGCCTCCCTGCCCCACCCCCCCAGCTCTCCCCTGCGCTTCACACCATCACAGACTTTTCCCCAGAGTGGTCCTACCCAGAGGTGAGTCTTGGCTTTTCTTCTCCCATTAGCTTTTGGACTTTTCAAAATGGATTTTATTAACTCTTATCTTACCTCATAGTCCGGGACCTACTGTCAGTTGTTTATTTTTAATGTAAGGAATCAAATCCAGCTTATCAGGAATATGCTCTGCCATTAAGCAATTCTACCAAGTCCTCAAGTGTCCCATCCTCCTGGTGCTCCTAAACTTGTTTGTTTTTCCCAAGACAGGGTTTCTCTGTGTAGCCTTGGCTGTCCTGGCCTTGCTTTGTAGACCAAGCTGGCCTCAGTGCCTTCCCCTGTCTTGTTATTGCAGTTTTCAAAGCTCCTTCAGGGACCTCATTCTCTTGGTGACTGTTTTAAGGGAAGGACACGGAGCCTTTAACCCTGGAGAGAAAAGTGCATGCGATGAGAAGGAGTGCAGACTCCGGGCAGCTGCAAGGCTGTGCTCAGCAGTGGGGAGGTTCTGGGAGCGGAGAGGAGGGGCTGCAAGGGGTGAGGCCGCTGGGCAGCGCTGCTCTCCCAAGCTCTGCTTCTTGGTGGATTCAGAATATCCTAGTAAGGCCCAAGGGTGAGCTCAGCAGTGGAACGTTTGCCTGGCATACACAAGGCCTTGGGCTGGACCCTCTGCGACAGGGAAAGTTTTTGGTTTGTTCTTTAAACTGGGTGTGGTGGGGCATGCTAACCCCAGCACCCAAGAGTCAGAAGCCAGATGGTCAGGAATGCCAGGCTGTCCTCAACTAGAGTCAGTTTGAGCCCAGCCTAAGCTACGTAAGACCCACTGGGCAGAAAGGTTGGGCCCTGCTCATCACTGAACCCCTAGACTCTAGGACAACTTCCATCATGAGGCTATCTGACCTCTGCCTGCAGGGTGGGGTCAAGGTGCTCATCACAGGCCCGTGGACGGAGGCTGCAGAGCGCTACTCCTGCGTCTTTGACCACATTGCGGTCCCAGCCTCGCTGGTCCAGCCTGGAGTCTTACGCTGCTACTGTCCAGGTATGGAGATTGTGAACACAGGGGAAGGGACTGACAGGGGAAGGCACTTAGATGGGCAAGGACCTCCAGGAAGCACTGGAAACAGCTTGTTCTGAGGACAAAGACCCTCCCACCCCTAGGCAGAGCGCCAGTTCTGGCCTTTGCGTCCTAAACCTGGGATGTGGTCTGCGAGGCGTGCTTGGTGGCTCTCGGGATCTTAGCTACCTCCACACCATCCTTAAGTTGCCCTCCTCTAAGGTCAAGCAAGCAGCTGGCCAAAGGGATCTCTAAAGTCCAGGGAGCCTCACCAGCCATGAGTGCCTCCTTAATCACAGTTTCCTACTCCTTTCCTCCATGCACTGGCCGTATTTCAAATGCCTAGTGAGTGCATTCTAGTGTGCAAGCCTGTTGGGTGTCGGCATTCCCACCGCTGTGGAGCGGTCTGGACACTGTCTCGGCCGCCTGCCCTGTGCTCCTGCCCCCGTCCTTCCCTGCAGTCTAGCACTCAGTCGTCGTCTTCCCTGGGGCCCAGGTTGGCTGTCTTGTTGTGGAGGAGTAAATTCCCTCCTAGTCTCCACAGCCCCAGCCAAAAGGTGGAGAAGACCAGAGAAGCTGGGGCTGGGGGAAGCTTCAGGCCTGGGTTTGAGGTTAAGGCCTGGTGCCTCTCTCCTCAGGGTAGTAGGCAGAGACTGGGCACAGCTCTCATTGGACACTGCTGCTGAGCAGACGTTTCACTCCTCAGGGTCTCAGCCTCGGCACGCTGCTCTAAAGGGCTAAAGGGTTAACCGCTGTCATGTTTGCCGAGGCTGCGCTCTACAGCCGATAATCCTCTGGTCCCTAGAGTGTAGCAATTCTAGAATAAGTAGTCTCCCCTCCCTGTTAGTGCAAAGGCTACGCGCCGAAGCGAGGGCACTCTTGGCCCATGCAAGGGAACAGGAGAAATGTGGCTCTGGAAGGAGCCAGGGAAGCCCCTCTTCCTGACCTGTCCCCCCCCAGCCCACGAGGTGGGGCTGGTGTCTCTGCAGGTGGCGGGGCGGGGCGGCCCCCTCTCTGCCTCCGTGCTCTTCGAGTACCGAGCGCGCCGACTCCTGTCTCTGCCCAGCACACAGCTTGACTGGTTGTCTCTGGACGGTAAGTTCTGAGCCCTCTGACCCAGCGTCTCAGGCATGACACACCTGCGCATGGCCTGCTCCCCAGATCTCCCAGGGCCACCATTAAAGCCCACTGTACTGCTGTTGCCATTGGTGTGTGTGTGTGTGTGTGTGCGCGTGTGCTGTTGCTGTTGTTAGTGCTTTTGAGAAACTTTGCTCTGTAGCCCTGTTTGGAACTTCTGTGTAGACCAAGCTAGCCTAAAACTTGGTGCCATCCTCTGCTTCTGGGCATGTGCCACCGTGCTAAGCTTCATGGGCATTTTTTAATGTAGTAGCAAACTGTGTCCCTTTCTGTGAATTTGGGAGGCAGGTTGATAATTATTTTAAAATGTGTGTTTGTGCACCGTGTCCATGCCAGGTGCCCACAGAGGCACCAGAGGCCACAAGAGGGTGTCAAATCACTTGGGACTATAATTAAACCCATTGTAGGCCGCCGTGTGGGCGCGGGACTCAAGCAGGGTCCTCTGGAAGAGCAGCCAGTGCACCAACCTCGGCTCACCTCTCCAGGCCCTTGGCATCTGTGTTGGCTGACAGGGCCTCATATAGCCTCAGGCCAGCTTCAGGCTCAAGCACACCCTTGAGTTCTCGGGTTCTTCTGCCTCCCAAGTTCCATGTTAGATCCATGCGTTTCCACTCTCGGCTTAAAGGAAGCTGTGCACACTTGTAGTTCTGGCTACACTGAAGGCTGCAGCAGGAGGGCCTCAGTTTGATTTCCAGCACCCACGTGGTGGTTCACAGCCACCATAGCTTCGGTTCTAGGGTTGAGATGTCATCTTCTGGCCTCCACGGGCCAGGCACACAGCGGCGTACACACATATGGGCAGAACTCCCACGCGCATAAGGTCATTGATTTTTCTGCTTTTCCTGTGGGTGATAAAGATGTGGCCGTTGTAGGTCTGCTCGAAATGACAGGACGCAAACACAAGGGAAGCCTGTGGCACCACTGCACCACCGCTGCTGAGGCCCCTCTGGCCCACGGAGGAGGCCTGCGTCTGTGTGCTTCCATGTGCATTTCCTGATGCTTTCTCGGGGTTTGCTTCTCTGGCTCTTCCTTGTGGTAGTTCTGTTATTGTCCTGCTATTTTTCTTGTCTCCTGCCATTCCTTTGTCTTAGAGGCTCTGTTCCTACTCTTGCCTCCCTTTTGCAGGGGAGGTCATACTTGTCACATGTCCTGAGGAGGTGTGTGGTTGTCTGTGGGACTTTAGTCTGTCTACCGTTGGGCCTGTTTTCCTGCTCTGGCTGCTCATCACTGTCTTCCTTACCCCTCTCTGATTGCTCCATCTCCTCTCTTCTTCCCAGTTTTCCTTAACTATATCTGATCTTTTTTCTTTTCTTCTCTCTCTAACCAACTGGTTGGGACTTTGCTGGCTGCTCTTTCTGTCCCCTCTGCACCTTGTTTCTGTCCCAGCTGAGTGTGTGCTCACCATCCCTTCTGTCATGGCTCTTTCTGTGCTTGCTTTCCCTAGGCGCTGGTCCCCTCCCTCCTGCTCTCCTTGTCCTTATTTGAGCTCAGAAGGGGGTAGACACAGCTTGTGTCTATGTGTGCATACGTGTATGTGGAAATTTGTGTATGGAGTTGGGAGGAGGAAGAATGAACATGGCCGTCCATCTCTGTCACCTCCCCTTCCCAGCCACCCTCTGGACAGCCATAGGGGGCCTTTGGAGTAGGTGGTGTTTTTTAAACTCTAGTCCCCAGTTCTTCGGGGTAGTGGCTAACCTAGAAGGGGGCCTTGAGTACCTCAGCCCAGCGCTGGAGGCAAAGGCAGCATCTGGAGCAAGAACTTGGGACTGTTCTGTTTTAGAAAAGGTTGGAAGAGGCCATGCCAGTTTTTGGCTTGGGTAGCTGAGAAACAGATGGGCACTGGGGAATTCCTGCCACCTCTGTCTTAGAGGAAACAGCCTTGGTTCTTCTTCCTTTTTTTTTTTTTTTTTTTTTTTTGACTTGTTTTTTTGAGACAGGGTTTCTCTGTGTAGCCCTGGTTGTCCTGGAACTCACTCTGTAGAAAGGTCTGCCTGCTTCTGCCTCCCAAGCACTGGAATTAAATGGGTGTGCCACTACCACCTGGCCAGCCTTGGTTCTTAATCCTGGTTCTCGTCTATGTGTGAGACTAAGGGCTGGGTCTCCTGCTGAGGTGTACGTAGCTGAGTGGGCGAGGAAGAGCAAGCTCTGTTGTCCCATTCTTCACACCCAGATCTTGGGGACAACCACTAGTAGTGTTCCTAGCATCCCCACACCGTCTACTCAGCTCCCGTGCCCACCCACAGACAGCCAGTTCCGGATGTCCATCCTGGAGCGGCTGGAGCAGATGGAGAAGCGGATGGCAGAGATTGCAGCCGCCGGGCAGGCGCCTGGCCAGGGCCCGGAGGTCCCTCCCCTTCAGGTACTTCTAACAGAGACCACGGTCTCATGTGGGGACATGGGGTCCCCAGGAGAGTTGTTCTCCTATGCCTGTCCTCACTCACCCACCCCGACTGTCAGCCACCCCTCCTCCTGCTGTCACTTTGCTGTCCATGACTGCTGCCGCTGTGGCAAGAGTGGCTCCTCTGGGCTCCCTCACAGTATGACAGGCTTCACACTATTTCTGATCTGAAGGTGGGGTGAAGGTGAGGGGGGGGATCAGAAATATTGGGCCTGTGGGTTCAGAGTCTCTGAAGGAAGAGGGCTGGGGGAGGGCTAGGGAAAGGGAGATAACATGTGGCACCAGCCAGAGCTGGTGTGTCAGCCAGCTCCAGAAGAGCTCCAAGTACCCTGAGGCCGCAGAGGGGCTCAACCAAGAAACAGGGCGGTGGCGGCGGGAGCTGCACTGGGAAATGAGCGTGTGTGCCGAAAGCGGAAGCTGGGGAGGTGTCCTGCGGGACAGATGCCCAAGTGTGTGCACATGGGTGTCCCGCAGGATGAAGGCCAGGGCCCCGGCTTTGAGGCACGCGTGGTGGTCTTGGTGGAGAGCATGATCCCACGTTCCACGTGGAGGGGTCCTGAACGTCTGCTCCATGGAAGCCCCTTCCGAGGCATGAGCCTTCTGCATCTGGCTGCTGCCCAGGGCTACGCTCGACTCATTCAAACTCTGAGCCAGTGGCGGTGAGCAGGGCTACCAGGGCTGGGGCGCTGGGCGGCCACTGACAGTGAGGCACTGGAGGATGAGAACTTGGCTCTCTGCTTGGCATGATCAGGGTCACTGTGGAAAGGCACATGGGTGGGAAGATTGGCGTTTGGAGGACTCCTAGTATCCTGACATAAGATACTGACTTCTTGACCAACTTAAGTGTACAAGGTCAAGTCAGTCCTCTGCCTCTGGTGTTCCTACTTTGCCGTCCCCCCACCCCCGACTGGGCTTTGTCTTGCCCCAAATCTCTAGGAGTGTGGACACCGGAAGCCTGGACTTAGAGCAAGAGGTTGACCCGCTCAATGTGGACCATTTCTCTTGCACCCCTCTGGTGAGGATGTTCCTAAGTTCCTGTGGGCCATAAGCAATGGGAATGGATGCTTCAAAAGAATGCAGGGGAATACCAGGAAGGCCAGGGCCTGAGGACTGGCTCAGGGAAGGCAGCTCACCTCCTCCCACTTCCTCCCTCAGATGTGGGCTTGCGCTCTGGGACACTTGGAGGCTGCTGTGCTCCTTTTCTGTTGGAACCGACAAGCGCTGAGCATCCCTGACTCTCTGGGCCGTCTGCCCCTGTCTGTGGCACATTCTCGGGGTCACGTGCGCCTTGCCCGCTGCCTTGAGGAACTGCAGAGACAGGAGCTTTCAGTTGAGCACCCGCTTGCTCTATCTCCACCCTCCTCCAGCCCGGACACCGGTGAGAGCTGGCCTTGGGTCCTTCTAGAGGCAGATCCTCAAAAAGTGTCTATAGCAAAGCTAACGGCTGGGAGAAGGCACTGGAGTGATGGCTGAGAGGTTGGCTGCTCTTCTGGAGGACCCACGTGGTAGCTCACAGCGGCCTGTAACTCTAGTTCCACCTACATACAGTTGGGGAAAAAACTCATACATACAAAATATAAACCTTAAAAAAGACCAGGCAGGGAACTGAGATGAGCTGAGGTGAGAGGCTGGAGGGTGGCTGGAGGGAGGCTCCCGCTGTCGCTGTCCTTACCTGGTTTGCCCTCCTCGCAGGTCTGAGCGGAGTTTCCTCACCCTCAGAGCTGTCAGATGGCACCTTCTCTGTGACCTCAGCCTACTCAAGTGTGGCAGACGGCAGCCCTCCCCCTGCTCCCCTGCTGGCCTCCGAGATGACTATGGAGGTGATCCCAGGCCCCCCAGAGACACCCTCACTCCTCATGGACTACGAGGCAGCTGGCTCCAAAGAGTCTCCTCCCGGCCTCCCCCCAGCCCAGGCCGGTGGGGCTGCTCCAGAGGACGAGAGCCCGGCAGCTGCGGATGTGATCCCGGTACTGCTCCCAGGGATGGGTTTGGACTCACAAGGCTAGGGATGGGGCAGAGCTGGGGGGACACACATCCCCAGAAGCACATCAACTGGGCTCCAGTTCCAGAAGGAAGACCATTTCCTCTTTGGGTATAGGCCCAGGACCCCTGAGCTAAGCCCTTTCAGACTTTATGATTCAGCAGGAATTAGGTAGGAGAAGTTAAGAACTCTACAGGGATCTTCACTTAGAACTGAACTGTTCTAATTACCTATCGACAATGAAGGAAAAGGTTCTTGTTTTATTTCTTTTCAGGACAGGGTCTTGCCATGTAGCCCTGGCTGTCCTGGAACTCAGAGACCAGGCTAGCTTTGAACCCAGAGAGGCATCCACCTGACTCAGCCTTCCAAGTGCTGAGTTTAAAGGTGTGGGCTGCAGCTGGTCCTGGTGGCTTTAATCCCAGCGCTCAGGATGCAGTGGCAGGCAGATCTCTATGAATTCAGAGCAAGTTCCAGGACAGCCAGGGCTACACAGAGAAACCCTGTCTCAAAAAAAGTGTGTGCCTCTAGGCTGAGCTGAAGGAAAAGGTTCTGAAGAAACTAGGTATGGAAGGCAGCTGGGAAGGGTGTCTGAGTAGACATTAGCGAGATTGTCAAGAAACACTTGACAATGACCTGGAGTAGGAAGACGCTTGCCTGTGGGAAAAGTTAAGGAAGGAATTATGTAATGAATGAAAAGAACGAATTTTCAAGCAGAGCCAAGTGCTAGGACCTGTGGACATACCTGCTTTAGGAAGGATAACTATAGTACGGAGCAAACACAAAAAATCAAGAACTCCGTTTCAGGAGAGAGGGGCAGCAGGAACCCTGAGTTCCAGGCTAGCCTGGCCTACATAGTGAGTTTCAAGCCAGCCTGGTCTACATAGTTGCAGGCCAGCCGGGACTACATAGTGAGATGCTCTCTCGAACAAACGAAGAAACCGCCTCTACAGGAGCAGCACCATGGAGGGCGGCCAAGTGCCGCAGGCCTTTCAGCTACTAGCCACCAGCACTGTGTGGTCAGTAAGCGCCAGGCTTGGAGGCTGGAAGCCAGTGGGGTGACACGCTTGGGCTAGGTCTCTGGAGATATATGTTGGCCAGTGCACAGAGCAGGTCCAAGTGGAGAGTGGGCCATCAGAAGGATGCTAAGATATTTGTCCTTCATGTCTTGTGTCTCACAAGAGAAGAGTGCAGAGGCCTGGCTCTAAGGAAGTCAGTAGGAATGAGGAATTTAGGTCGGTCAGTAAACAGAAGAGCTAGAAGATCAGAAAATGGGGTGCAAGGCTACAGCTTAGGCTGGGCGGGAGCATTGCTCGTCAGAGCCCCAGAGTTCATGCACTGTCTCCGTCTGTCCAGGTGGACATGATCTCGCTAGCCAAGCAGATCATCGAAGCCACACCAGAGCGGATTAAACGCGATGACTTCTCAGAGTCACCGGAAGCTGGAGCCTCAGCCAGGGAGCAGACAGGCGCCGTGGGGCTCAGTGAGACCATGTCCTGGCTAGCCAGTTACCTGGAGAATGTGGACCATTTCCCCAGCTCGGCCCCTGCTAGGTGACAGCTCAGAACAAAGCCTCTACACTTTTTCAGGGAAAGATGGGAGGGAGGACGCTTCCTAACAGCCAAAGCACCATTCTGGCTGAGGTCCTGGGGTAGGTAAGAAGGACCTGAGCAGGCTGATGAGCTGTGGAGCATCTTTGCAGACTCTGATGCTGAAGATGGTCCTCTAGCTGAGATGAAAGGGTGATGCCTCCCAACATCCTCCTCCTTACCCCACAGTGAACTGCCCTTTGAGGGAGGCCGCCTTGCTGCCCCACCAGCACCTTCCTGGGCAGAGTTCCTCTCCGCGTCCACCAGCGGCAAGATGGAAAGCGACTTTGCCCTGCTGACACTCTCAGACCACGAGCAACGGGAACTGTATGAGGCGGCACGGGTCATCCAGACAGCCTTCCGCAAATACAAGGTCAGGGCCTGGAGCCTCGGATAAGTCAGTCTTGAGGGAGGGAGACTCCCAGAGCTTCTACAGAACAGAGGCCTCGTGGGAGTAAAGAGAGTGGAGGCAGCGACACCACCACGCCTGACACCCTCACAGGAGAGGAGAGCCAGCTCCTCTGATGTCCACTCGCAGGCATCCCGCACACTCACACAAAATAAAAAAAATGTAAAGACAAACAATTTCGAGGTGGGGTCTGCAAGAGAGAGGAGGAGGAGCCCCAGAGTCTACCAGCCCCCACGGACTCCTGAGCTGAGGCCCCACTCTCTTCCCTTAGGGCCGGAGGTTGAAGGAGCAGCAGGAGTTGGCCGCGGCGGTGATTCAGCGCTGTTACCGGAAGTACAAGCAGGTTAGAGCCTTTTCTCAAAGCACACCGGCACACACCTACCCAGTTTAAGCCCGGGCTGTGAGAGCCCTAACTCCCCTCTCTCTCCACAAGCTGACCTGGATTGCACTTAAGGTATTAGGCGTGAGCTCGGGGTGTGAGTGTGTGTGGGTCAGAGAAAGGGATGAACCTCGCCTACGGGTGACCTTCAGGGGTTGGATTTCTGCCCTCCACTACAGTGCGTGTGCCCCTCTCCTCCCCTGCAGTTCGCTCTCTATAAGAAGATGACTCAGGCGGCCATCCTGATTCAGAGCAAGTTCCGAAGCTACTACGAGCAGAAGCGCTTTCAGCAGAGCCGCCGGGCAGCCGTCCTGATCCAGCAACACTACCGCTCGTACCGCCGCAGGCCGGGCCCTCCTCACCGGCCCTCAGGCCCGCTGCCTGCCCGAAACAAGTAGGCACAGCCCCCGCCGCTTCCAGCCTGCCTGCCTTTCCCCACATTGGTCCTAAGGTGGGGACTGGGGACGCTGGAGTTCTGAGACTCTCTTTTCCACCAGGGGCTCCTTTCTCACCAAGAAGCAGGACCAGGCAGCCCGGAAAATAATGAGGTTCCTGAGGCGCTGCCGACACAGGTTCGGACCCCGCACCTCGGTGGATTTCTGCCCTGCCCCCTTCTCTGACCCGCCCGCCTCTGAATCCTCTGTCTCCGCAGGATGAGGGAGCTGAAGCAGAACCAGGAGCTGGAAGGGCTGCCCCAGCCAGGGCTGGCCACCTGACCGCTCCACGCCTTTCTCCGCCCGGCCGGCCCTTCTGGCTGTCCTGCCGAGGAGAGGCTTTCGGGACTAGGGGAGCCCCCTGTCGGCAGCTTCCCCCTTCCCTTTCTGGGAGCCCTCGTGGACCCCGTCCTTCCCCAGCCCACGCCGTTCCTCCCTTCTGGTCGCGCCTCCCCGATGCCCCGATGCCCCCCGGCTCCAGGAGACCCGCGCCCACACTACTGCATCCTCAGCGGTGACTGCGGAGCCCTGCCTGCACCTTCTGCACACCCGGCCCTGCCTGCACTCGACTCGGACCTCCCTGACTTGCCTTATTTATTTGTTGGACGAGTCGCTCACGAATGTATCCGCCTCGGCCCCCGCCGCTGCCTTCGCTGCGCGCCCTCGTGTTTCAGGGGTGACGGCCCCACCCCGACTCCGCATGTTTGCGTCTGTTTCCTCCTACCCGGCCCCGTCTTCCCCATCACCCCGACTCTGGCCACCCACCCAGGGGCCGAAGAGGAGGGGGTGTACATAGGCTCGCGAGGCGGAGCCCCGCTCCCGCGGGGAGGGTTTGTACATAAGTGTAACATACAGAGTATAGTGAAGAAGTCTATTTAAGGCGCTGCGCGGCGGCCCCGCGAGCACTTTCTACTTGTGCATGGGCTCGGTTTATACGAATTGCCATTAAACGTCTCTGCACCAGCGAGCCTCCGCGTCTGCTGGGGGCGGGGCGGGGCGGGGCGGGGCCGCGCGCTTTTGTCGCGGCCGACGCGTTTCCGGCCTTAAAGGCATCTCGCCCCTTCCCTTTAAGACGCGCCGCCCCCTCTCAGTCATTCCCAAGATGGCGGACCTACTGGGCTCCATCCTGAGCTCCATGGAGAAGCCGCCCAGCCTCGGGGACCAGGAGAGCCGGCGCAAGGCCCGAGGTGAGGACCCCAAGCCCACGGGCGCGAGTGTCCGCCGGGCTCCCGGGAGCACACTCCTCCCTCTCTGAATAACGCCAGCCCCTGCCCGAGAGCCCCCTCCGCGGCCGCTCCCCAGCCCCTCCGAGCGCCCGGAAGGCCTGCCGCCCGCCGGGCTCCCCGCACGCCGATTGGCTGCCTCGGCCGGCCCCGCCCCCGCGGGCCTCGCTCGTGATTGGCCCGCGGCGCGGATGGGCGGCCTGCCTCCCCTCCGATTGGACGAGGCCGCGCCTGCGCGTGGGCCGCACCGCCAGTTCCGCGGCGGTCGGGCGCGGGGCACGCCCCTCTGCGGCGTGTCCCCTCTTGGCGCTGCCTCGGTGCTGCCGTGTGACCCGCCTCGGCTCCGCCCGCGGGCTGGCCGCTCCTGCCTCCCCGGCGGTCCTAACCGTGGCCGTACCTCCCCGTGCTGCCCAGCTGGCTCGTGATGCGGGCGCCCGCCGTGCCCCCCCGGCCGGCAGGCCAGCCAGAAAGCTCGCTGGAGCTTGGCAGCCAGGGTTGGGCGCGGCCCGAAGAAGCCTACTCGGTGTTGGCTCAGGCGCGTGAGCCCCGACCATGGGCACCCCCACCCCATCTGCCCAAAGGAGGCAGGACGGGCAGGGTGCCTTCAGGGTGTGGAAAGATATATGTAAGAGAGGTTAACCGGGGTCCCCAGCTTTTGGGAAACGAGGTGGGCACCAAGAATAGGTGATTAAGGAAAGGGAGTGAAGTCCCTAAGCTGTGGGAAAGCGGAGCCTAACGGGAAGCAGGAGTTGGGATGCCTTAGTGTTCAGGTGGATGACGGGAGCACTCAGCAGCTGTTAGAGCAGGCGGCGTCAGCCTGGGGTCTCGGGCTTACTAGGCTGAGTTTGGAACCCAGGTGTGACGTCTTGTTTTGTTTAGGTTTTTTTTTTTGGGGGGGGGGCGGAATTCGAGGCTTTCTGGCTGTTGCTTTGTAGTCTAGGCTGGCCTTGAACTCACAGAGATCCCCTGTCTCTGTACCTCGAGTGCTGAGATTAAAGGTATGCACTATCAAGCTCCGCTTCAGATGTGACTTCATAGTCTATGTTCTTACCTTATGCTAGCGCCCAAGAAGCAAAAAAATGCTGAAAAACCAGTGAGAAAAGACTGAGGGGCCAAGTGAAGTCAGAGAGATGAGCGCCTCCGGTTGCCTAGGCCCTGGACCCTGAAGTGGGAGTGGACATAAGGGGAACATGGTCTCTGCGCTCCAGCGAGTGGGGGTGGGGCTGGAGCAGAAACCATGTCTTTGAAAAAAAAAGCAGTGAGTGTGCCTAGAGCCTAAAGGAAAGTTTTTTTTGTTTTGTTTTGTTTTTTGTTTTTTACTTTTATTTTATGTACATTAGTGTGAAGGTGTCAGATCCCTTGAAATTGGGGTTACAGACAGTTGTGAGCTGCCATGTGGGTGCTGGGGATTGAACCCAGATCCTTTGGAAGAACAGACAGTGCTCTTAACCACTGAGCCATCTCTGCAGCCCCAAGAGGAACATTTTGACTCACGGTGAGGAATCGGTGTTTGAAAGAGGAGGAAAAGTTGTCCATCGAGTCGGAACATGTGCAAAGGAAGTAGGAAGAGGTTCAGTGCAGCTCTGGGGACTCAGCCCTGTGCAGGGACTGAACCGAGGGTGTTGAAAGAGCGAAAGAAAGGAGTTTCAAGCTGAAGCACAGGAGAAAGAGGCAAATGCCCAGGTCACCAGAGGCAGTAAACACATACGGAAAAAGACAAAGTAGTCTCGGGCTTAGTGATTAAGAGCGAGGACCTAGATTGCCAGCACACACATCAGGCGACTTACAACTCCCTGTAACCCTGGCTTCACCTCAGGCCTCCCGGCCCTTGAATTCATGCATACACATAATTAAAATGATAAGAATAAATCTTTTTTAAAAAGGCTGAGGGCTGGGAATGTTTCTCAGTTGGTGGAAAACTTACATAGCATATGAAAGGCCCTGGGTTCAGTCCTTCCTAGTGTGCTGTGGTGGCTCTCATCTGTAAGTGTGAGGCCAGCCTGGGAGTCAAAGCTGGGGCCAGAAAGGAGGCAGGTGCTGCTTTGCAGCTGGGGCTGCACCTGAGTGCAGAGCTCAGGTTGAGGTGCAGTCCCTGGGGTTGCACCGACCCCTAAGGGCAGAGGGTGTAGGGAGGCAAGATCTGAGAAGGGCAGGGCGCCCCGTAAGAAAGGAGAGCTTATTTATGGCTAGCTTTGGGTACCTGTGCCCCCCAAAGTAAAGAGTCATGTCTGGAACCCTAAGTCATGGTCATGGTAGAACACCATGACTGAAAGCACTCAATGGGCTTTTTACCCAAAGTTCCAAATTTCTTTTCTATTTCCTCCCTGCCCCGCCCCTGAAAAATACCCAACCTGGCCAGCCAGGCCTGCCACAACAGTAGTCCACTCTCTGGTACCAACTTCTGTCCTCATTAGAGTTTCTACTGTTGTGATAAAACACAGCTTAACCAGAATCAACTCGGGAAGCTTCAAGCTCACGTCACAGTGCGCCATGGAAAGGAGTCAGGCATAAACTGAAACAGTAAGCACTGCCTACTGGCTCCATCCTGGCAGCCCTTCCACAGCCAGGACTGCCGCCCAGAGCTGGCACCCACGGCGGGCTGGACCCTCCCCACCAGTCATTAACTGTATGACAGTCCCACTGTCTTCTGGAGCCGTGTTCTCAGCTGCAGCTCCTACCTCTGCGGACACTCCACCTTGTGTGTGTCAAGTTGATAAAACAGAACCACAGGGGAGAAGTCAGACGCTGCTTCAGTTCATCCTGAGCTTACAAGTGTGGGGTCGGGGAGTTTACCTTTAATTGGAACAATTAGGAGGCAGAGGCAGGCTGATCTCTGAGTTCAAGGCCAGCCTGGTCTACATAGAGAGCTCTAGGACAGCCAGAGGCTACATAGAGAAAAACTCTGTCTCAAAAATATATGTTTGTGTGTGTGTGTGTGTGTGTGTGTGTGTGTGTGTGTGCATGAACTTAAAAGTTGGATGTGGGAGTATATGCTTTTAATCCCAGCACTCAGAGGCAGAAGCAGGCAGAGGTCTATGATTTTGAGGCTAGCCAGGTCTACACAGTGAATTCCAGGCCAGCCCAGGCTACATAGTGAGAAGCTGTCTCCAAAATAATAATTATATATAGCAGATACAAAGGGAGATCGTTTCCCTGTAGAGACTGAGTTGAAAGGCCTGAGGCCTCAGCTGTTCTCACTTCCCGGATGCCTTATAGTTCCTTTTATACTGTGGGGGTTAAGTGAATGCTGATTGGTTTTCTCCTAGGGTTGCTAAGTTGGGTGTGTGTGGGTCTGGTCCTTGGGGCTCGAAGTCCACTACTCTGGAAGGGGAAACTGTCTCGGCCATGTTGGTGCTGTGGGGCTTAGCAGCGTCCGGTCGTGTCACAGAGTAGCTGAGAGTGCTTGGTGAGTCGCAGTGGTCCTGCTGCCGAGCACAGTGCTCCCCAGTGTTTGTCAGACACCCTTGGGAGCCTGACCAGCTCGCTACGCATGCTTCCGCCCTGGCCTCATGCTGCCCTTTCCACCCCCAGAGCAGGCAGCCCGCCTGAAGAAACTGCAGGAGCAAGACAAACAACAAAAAGTGGAATTTCGTAAAAGGGTGAGAACAGCTGGAGAGATCCAGGGCAGCTTCTGAAAGGGATTGCAGTAAGAGTTGGGAGGTTGAGGCCTTGGTTGCTGTGACATGCCTGCAGACAGGCGGAACTAAAAGCCAGTGGCTTGGGAGCTGGAAGGCAGGGTGGAGAGGTGTTTAGAAAGGTGCAGCCGTTGGCCCGGGAGAGTTTGGGAGAGTCCTGAGCGGAGCTGTCATCTCATGCCCTCCTCCTTGTGTTTCTCCTAAGATGGAGAAGGAGGTGTCTGATTTCATCCAGGACAGTGGACAGATCAAGAAAAAGTTTCAGCCAATGAACAAGATAGAGAGGAGCATACTGTGAGTGTGTCAGCGCTTGGGGCGGCAAGAAGCGAGCCAGCGGGCCTAGGCTGCTCATGCTCACCTCCTTCTGCCTCCCCTCCACAGACATGACGTGGTCGAGGTAGCTGGCCTCACGTCCTTCTCCTTTGGAGAAGATGACGACAGTCGCTATGTCATGGTCTTCAAGAAGGTAAAAGGCCTGGGCGCCCCTCCCTCCCTCCTCTCAGCCGGCCCCTGCCCGGGGCTCACAAGGCTATCTGGACGTCACTTTGCCTGTCCCCTCCCCCCAGGAGTTTGCACCCTCAGATGAAGAGCTAGACTCCTACCGTCATGGAGAGGAGTGGGACCCCCAGAAGGCTGAGGAGAAGCGGAAGCTCAAGGTGAGCTGTGCCTAACAGGCCCTGGAGCCCATAACCATCACCGGGAAGAGGTCAGCTGGGCTCAGGGCCTTGAGCACAGGTGCCCCACCGCTGTGCCCTTAGGAGCTGGCTCAGAAACAGGAGGAGGAGGCAGCCCAGCAGGGGCCCGTGGTGGTGAGCCCAGCCAGCGACTACAAGGACAAGTATAGCCACCTTATTGGCAAAGGAGCAGCCAAAGATGCGGCCCACATGCTGCAGGCCAACAAGACCTATGGCTGTGGTGAGCCGTGGCAGGAGCTGGGGGGCCACGGGGAGAACATAGGTTGGGGGAGGGGATCGGAGACTGAGGGCTTGCCCACTCTTCCCTCTGCTGCCAGTGCCTGTGGCCAACAAGCGGGACACGAGATCCATAGAAGAGGCCATGAATGAGATCCGAGCCAAGAAACGCCTGCGGCAGAGTGGGGAAGAATTGCCAACTACCTCCTAGGCATCCCGCCCAGCTCACTTTGACCCGGGGCAGGGAGGGACAAGGCTGCTGCTATTAGGACCCATCCTAGAGCCCCACTTCTAAAACCATGAGGTCCTGCCAGCTGCCACTCAGACTGGAGGAGCAGGTGTTTTCACTGCTGGAACTTGGATGTGTGTTTGGTGAGTGGGTGCCTGTGTGTGTGTGAGATGTGTGTGCAGATGTGTGGGTATTTAATCTGTATTACTCTGTTACCCTTGGAACTTTCTTCCCCATGGGGCTGGGGCTGCTTTACATTGAATAAACACTGTTTGACCCCAAGTCCTGATTTGTACATAAAAATGTGGACTCCAAGCCACGCCTTTAATCACAGTGCCTGGGGAGGCAGAGGCAGGCTGGTCTCTGTGAGGTCAACCAGTCTGCTCTACAGAGTGAGTCCAGGACAGCCAGGGTTGTGCATTAAAACTTTGTGTTAAAAAAGAAAGAGCGGGAAAAAAAAAAAAAAAAAGTGAGCAAAAGACCGAAAGAGAGACAGAAAGAAAAAGAGAAAGAGAAAGGAAGGAAGGAAGGAAAGAAGGAAAGAAGGAAAGAAAGGTGGACACTGGGTCCATTGGCAGAGTAGAAGATAATTTTAGAGTGAACAGGGTAAAGCTGCTGTTTACGGAAGCTGAAAATAGCCAATTTTCGCACTGTTGTTGTGAGTTTGTATTTACTTAGTTTGCGGTGCTACCGGCCGAACTCAGTACTCTGCAGGCTGGGGTCTGAGTGTCTAAGCTGTGCGTGCCTGTGCCCACAGTGGTAAGAGGGCATTGGAGCCCCTAGAACGGGAGTTGCCAGCAGCTGGGAGCCGCCAGGTCCGTGCTGGGAACGGAAGCCTGGCGCTTGTGAGAGCAACTAACCACCGTACCAGCTCCCCAAGCTCCAAGCTTGAAGCAGGGTCTTGCTGCTTTGAAAGTGTTACCCCATGTCTGTCCCCCAAGGCCTGAGATTACAGATAGAACCACCACACCCAGCTAAGAGATATTCTTTCGAGGCTGAAGCCAAGTGGCCTGGCTTTGTGTCCTGGCTCTACCAGTTGCTGAGCTGAGGAAGATATATTTAACTCTCTGTGCCTGGGTTTGTGTAAAAGGGCATCAGAAATGGTCCATGTCAGAAGTCCTTTCGAAGCTGCTGCAGGGTGGTGCTGTCAGGTGCTGAGTGACCCCAAGAAGCCCCGCTCCAGTGGCGAGCGGTCCCCTTGCCTTTTACCCTCACCAAGCACTCAGTGGCCGAAGCCTGGCCCGTCCCTCTCGTGCTGGGAGGAGGCCCCTCGGCCCTCTCCATCACGCTGCCCACTTGGCAGCTGTTTCTTCCTTCCGGAAACACCTTTCCAGCTCCTTCACATGTACAATCTCTGCTTTCTCTAGTTCATTCCAAAATGAGTTTCTCTGTCCTACACTCGCTGAGCTTTCAGATCCCTCTTCCTTGTCACAGCAGGTTAAATGTCCTGTCACCCAGCGCCTACCGCCTTCCTTCCCAGGGAGCGAATCATCCCTTCCCTCCTTCCAAGAAACACACATGGTCTTGTTTGGCGGTGTTTATTTCAGGGAGGGCTTGAAGGCCTGTCCTGTCCTGTGGAATTCTAGGGCCTCCAGCTTCTCATTTGGCCTTTGGATTACGGAACTTTCGTCCAGCAAAGACAGCTTTGTCCCCGAGAGCCTCCTCAATCCTGTAATAGAGAATCAGAGCTGCTACGTCTAAGCCAGGAGCGCCCTCCTCTCCCACCGTCCAGGCCTGTTCCCACCGTACCTCATGAGCTGGTTGTATTTGGCCAGACGCTCTGAGCGACAGGGGGCACCAGTCTTGATCTGAGGAGGGAGAAGGGGTTTGGAGGGGTTGGGCCCTGAAGGAGCGAGGAGGACCCGGGTTACGCCTCAGGGAGGGAGGCTGCATACCTGTCCCGTGCAGAGCCCCACCACAAGATCAGCGATGAAAGTGTCCTCCGTCTCCCCAGAGCGGTGGCTCACCATCACGCCCCAGCCGTTGGACTGTGCCAGTTTGCAGCTGTGTAGGAAGGACATTGGATGAGGCCTGGTGTGACCTCCAGGAGAAGGCAGGGCAGGCAAGGCAGAACCTCGGCTTTGTTTGGGGCAGCGAAAAGCTTTGTTTTGGGCTTTGTTTGTGGTGAGTGACGGTGGTGAGAAGCAGGACACAGGACGAAGGTTATCGGACACACAGCCACAGTGCAGAGGTCTTGGGGTCAAGAGGGCCTGAGTAGGTCAGGTTTCCAAGGAAGGGTAGACTCATGGCAAGAACAGCACAGTGGGCTGAGCTGGAGCTGAGGGTGGCCATGGCGAGCCCGCACCGGGAGGCACTCACGCCTGGATGGACTCCGTCACAGAGCCGATCTGGTTGACCTTGAGTAGCAGGCAGTTGCACGCCTTCTTCTCCACAGCCTGAGCAATCCTCTTGGGGTTGGTGACTGTAAGGTCATCTCCCACAATCTGGATGTCCACCCCAGAGAGGAACGAGGTCCATGTTGCCCAGTCATCCTGGTCGAAGGGGTCCTCGATGGAGACCACTGGGAGGGGGTGGGGCACAGCGGGGGTTAGAGACAGGCCCGACGGAGGGAGACATGAGCAGGAGGAGACACGCCGGGGTGCTCACCAGGGTAGTTCTTGATGAAACTCTTGTACAGTTCCCCAAGCTTCTCCCCGCTGATGTGCCGCGCTGGGTCGTCGGGGGACTTGAAGTCTAGGTCATACTTGCCATTGCGATAGAATTCGGATGCTGCCACATCCATGCCAATCACCACCTTGTCTGGGTAACCTGCTGCCTGAATGGCTGTCTTTAGCAGCTCCAGAGCTAGGAGAGGAGCAGGAATTGGCCTGAGGTTCCAGGATCCCCTGGATGTACAACACCCTTCCCCCCACCTCATGGGGCCCCAGGAACGCTCAGCACTGACCCTCATTGTTCTCCAGGATGTTGGGTGCAAAGCCACCCTCGTCCCCTACATTGGTGGCATCCTTCCCATACTTGGCCTTGATGACCCCCTTGAGGTGGTGGTAGACCTCGGCGCCAATGCGCATGGCCTCCCTGAAGGAGCTGGCTCCCACTGGCAGGATCATGAACTCCTGCATGGCCAGCTTGTTCCCGGCGTGAGAGCCTCCATTGATCACGTTGAAGGCCTGAGACAGGAGAGGGTGCTCAGAGCTGGGTGGTGGGAGGGACCAAAGGTGCTCGGGAGCTGAGTGGTCTGGACTCCTCAGAACCTCTCCATAATTTCTGCACAACTGTAGCAAACCTAATTCCCTGCCCGCCCTACTCTTCTGAGAATTAAGAGAACTCGAATACAAAGCTCTTCACTTTTGCCTGGCTTGTAACAGGGAATGATTTTATGGCATTTAAAAAAAAAAAAAAAAAAGCCTATTTCACTCTCAAAACACCTATTAGCTGTACACTCTTATTAGCTTTCTCTTTACAGATGAGGAAAGTGAGGAACAGAAGACAGGCACGCCAGGGTCTGCACCCAGCGGTGTCTCAGGGTCAGTGTGGTTAGCACACTCTCCTAGTGACAATAAATGGTAACACTGAGATTAGGTTCTGCTGTCCCAAGCTGGGATCCAAGGATGGGAGTGACCGCAGCAGCAAGGGAATGAAGACAGACAACGGGCACAGACTGGCACTGGGCAGACTGGGCTCGCTGATGGGAAGACCGCAGCAGTCCAGGAGTTCAGTGTGTCCGTCAGACAGAGCCCAGCGCGCTTACTACGCCGAGCCCAACAGAGCTGTGGGTGGCTGCGGGCGTCCAAACAAGGAGGTGGGGCTGTGATGTGCAGGTGCACCAAGAGGACAGGGTTGGGAGTCCCAGTACGAAGAGCCCTCTCTACAGGGGAGCAGTCTTCAGACTGTAGACACCCAAAGGGGAGGAAGCTACTGCGGACAGACTACACACCGGTCCCGACATTCGCACTTGGTCACCGGAGAAGGCCTTGCCACGCCCCTGAGCCTTAGCCTAGGAGAAGGCTTTGTATTCCTCCATGGGTCTGAAGCCTGGGGTCTTTGAAAAGGCTGGCTCAGGTCAATGCATACATTCACCCAAGACCTTTGAAGACTCAGGGCTCTCTCTCTGCACCCTACAAAATTCAAAGGGCTATTACTAAGACAGCAATGGTTTGATATGGACCCAGAGGATACAAGGAAATACTGAGATTCTTGCCCTGAAATCTGACTGGACGAGGCACACGATAGAATGAGGTGTGAAAACCTGGCCTGAGCTTGGAATGTGAAGGAACTAAGGGACCTGGCAAGGGAAGGAAGCTTCCAGAGGCTTCGCTTTAGATTGGGGGATCGAGGGAGGGCTGGAGCACAGCAGGAGAGATTTCATTTCAGGAAATGCTTCTTTGCAGCAGGATCTGAAAAGGCAGGTTTTCTGGGGAGCTGCTCAAGCACTCCCAGCTGGGGAGAGGCAGCTGCCTGAAGAGACAACCACACTCACAGGCACAGGAAGTACGAGGTCGGGGTTCCCTGCAAGGTCGGCGATGTGTCGGTAGAGCGGGACCCCTTTCTCAGCTGCTCCAGCCTTACAGACAGCCAAGGACACACCCAGGATGGCATTGGCCCCAAACTTGGCTAGAGGGAGGCAAAGGGGGGGGGGGAGCTCTTAGAGGTTTGGGGTTAGTTCCCTCCAGTCACCCCAGGAAGAAGCTTCCTAAACCACTTGACATTAAGATTCTGTTAACTCATCTCTTTCCTGGCCTGCGGATCTCTGGGAGCTCACCCCCTCCCCTCCCTGGGCCAAGAGCTTCAGTCAGGCCTGGCAGAAGACAGGCTTCAGGAAATGCCTGTGGAATGAATAAAAGCCTATCCTTCTACCGTGTGCCCCAAGACATGGGACACAGCGACAACCCAGCCAGCCGTCAGTGGTCTCTTCCACCCCTGCCGCAGGCCACGCCCTCCCCACCTCCGTCCCGTCACTCACACTTATTCTCTGTCCCGTCCAGCTCAATCATAAATTTGTCAACTTTCTCTTGATCCACAACACTTAGTTTCTGGAAGAGACAGAGGTCGGATTTCTCAGGAGCCAGGTAATGTGCAGGATGAAGCGTAAGCGAAAACACTTGGAGCAGGGTGAGGCACAAGGTCAGTGGGAGGAGGAAAAGGGGGCTGGGTCCCCCACTTGCCTTTTCTAGCAGAGCAGGACCTAGAGTCTTGTTGATGTGCTCCACAGCCTTCAGCACTCCTGCAGGCCAGAGAGCGGTTCCGATTTCTACGTGGCCCGGCCCCCTCCCCTGTGGGGTCCCTGGCTTTGGGCACAGTCCTCTCTCCCTGTCCTGTGTCAGCTCAGCTTACCTTTCCCCAGATAGCGTGACTTGTCTCCATCTCTCAGCTCCAGCGCCTCATAGATCCCTGTGGAAGCGCCACTGGGCACAGCCGCTCGGAATCGACCTGGGCAGGAACAACTGCGGATCAGAAAGAGCCCACCCCAAAGGTCACCTCCCTGGGCCCAGGGATGGGAGAAAATACAGAGACTCCCGCCTTCCTTCCCCTGCTTTGGGGCCAGGAAGGGCCTACGAAGGGGTCTGGGGAAAGGAACCTCTGACAAAGAACAGGATGTGGGAAGCAGGTGAGGCTGGGGGTTCGGCAGTCGGCAATACCCTTGGCAGTGTGCAGGTCCACCTCCACTGTGGGGTTGCCCCTGGAGTCCAGGATTTCTCGCGCGAAGATTTTCTGCATGGCCATGACTGCACCACAGGAGATGGAAGAGTGAGCGAGTGTGGACAGCTGACCCCTAAGGACCTAGGGATCCCCTGCCCTTTTAAGAGTCTTCTCCACCCGAAGGAGGCAGGTGCTGCCGCTAAAAATACCCCATAAAAAGGTCACAGACCGAAGAGGCAGGCGGGCAGGCCCTCCCCCACTCAGAAGGGCTCTTGTTCCTCCCAATCTGAGAATCCAGGGCTCATGACTTTATAACTCCACAGACCACACCCCAGCACTTCACCAAACTCAGACCTTCCACCTTTATGATTAAGCAATCTGCTCTCTGCCGATTCCGACTCCTAGCCCTCAAACCTCTCTCTGCTTCTCGCTGTCCCGGCCCCAAGTCCTCCCAGACCCCAAATTCTCTGCCTAGCTCAAGTCTGTCTTCATCATCTACTTCCTCATCCTTAGGGCCTTCTTTCCCATCTCTGTCAGTACTCTCCAGGGTTTGCCCCAGCCCTGCTTGCTGCGGCCCAGCCACTCTTTCCAGCACTCAGTCCTAGCAAGAACACAGCCACAGCGTCCCTCCCCCTTCCCAAGCCCGCAGCTCCCCGCACCTGTCCACCGTGTAACGGGTTTTACCCAGCCTGGGATGTCTTCCTGGGAACTCTGACAGGGGCTTCTCTAGGTTCAGGCCTCAGCTGGGACAGTGTCGGCTCACCCCCTCTCAGGCTGGGCATTTACCCCAAGCCACCCTGTCCCCCAGCCAGGCCCGCCTCTCATTCCACCTCCTCCCCTCCACACTGGGCAGGCAGCCCAGTGCCCACTGCTGCCTGA